AGGCTAATTCACACTTAGAATTGATACTAAATAAAACAAATATTAAATTATAGAATACTAAATTTTATCCAATTAAATGTGAAAATATAATTCCTATTCATAATATTTTTGACTGATTTATTTTTATTTATTTTTTTTTTTAACATGACTGGCGTACGCCTTGTTTATTAAATATTGATTTGTAGAACTTTAAATTTACTTAATACAAATTTGTCTATTTGACTATTTGCTAAACTACCTAAGACTATGTCTACCGGCTGGCTTGTTGCCCCTCATTCATCTGATCTTACTAACATCAATGTAAGCATTAACCCTAATAAAATTGGTGAAGTGCTAACATGCCTAGATGTACGCCTTTAAGTTCTACTCACCATCCGATGAATAGAATCTTAAAAGACCATATCTAAATACAGTCAGTCGCGGTCTAGTTATATCCAATGAAAAATTAATTGGCTCTAACTAGATCAAAAAAAAAAATTCTTTTTTAGTTGTACATACAAAGAAAAAACTACTAAAATCTGTTTGTATGTGAATTTTTGTATTCTATAAATGTGTGAGATCTATTCATACTCCTTATGCCTTCTTGCAGATCTTTGTACTATTCGAAAAATCTCCAACTAGGATTAGCCATTTGCTTCCTGATTTAAGTGGTATACTATCATTACTATTCATTATAATCAGATGAAGTTCAGTCACAAGGTATTATATCCCCCAACACAAAGGAATACAATATTGCGCCATAGTTAAAGTTTGTAGAGAAAGAGTGGAGAATGTCTGGTACTTGTAATGTATCATTCATTCAGATAAATGTGTATTCTTTATTTTATTATTGTTTGTTAACCTGTATCTTCTAGCTGTATGAAAAATACCACCTGACTTCTTTGGTCATTAAAAAGTCAACACATAACCCCGATAATACTTTCAGCTTGCCATCCAAGGCATCTGTTTGAGAATAAAGGGAGCTGTTTTCGGCCTTTACAACTTCTTTACCAGCAAGAGCTATATCTCCAGAGAGAGTACAGTGTTGTACTGCTAACCTAGGGATATTGGAGTATGTTCCATTAAAGAAACCTCTTTTTCTTTCGTTTTGAAAAAGAGTATTTTCTAAAAAAGAAATTTTTAAGGAAAGTGAAGTGAATGGGAAAGAGTTTTTTTTTTTTTTATCTGTTGACTGATTTATTTTATAAGTATAAATATATTAAAAAATTAATAAGTATTAGCAAATTAAATATAAATATAATATTATTTTATTATTTAATATATATTAAATTGCTGCAAATGGTATTATGTTAAATAATTTATATCCAAATGTTTGACAAGTGGCAATATATCAAATAACACTATTTTGACTAGTATATTATTATATATAACTTATATATAAAAGATACTAAATGTCTAATTTAGATATTATATATCAATAAAGATTTATATTGATGTATATTTATTTTTAAAAAAAATAAAAAAATAAAAAAATAATATTTATCTACAAAAAAAATTGTTTAATTAATAAAGTTTGATATTTACTTTTTTATAAATAATCAAAAAGACAGATCTAAAGAAAAATATAATAAAGAAAACCAGTTAAATAATTTGAAGATATTTTATTATAATATAAAATAATTTTTAATTATTTCATTATAAGATTTAACAATATCAATTCTTAATTTTTAAAATTTTTTAAAGTTTTATTTAATGTTAAATTAATTAACAAAAAATTATTTTTGTTAAGTAAATTTAATTTCAAATTAGATTTTTATTAATAAAAATATTTATTAATTAAAGTCAATACATTTTTAAAAATGTTTATAAATATTGTTCTTCTTTTTGTTATATAAACTTTATAGATAAATTTTCTAATTTTTTTTTTAATTTGTAATATTAAAATAAGTAATCCAAGAGAATAATTATATTCAATATAATTATGTCAAATATTTATTATTTAATCCATTTGTTAATACATTTGACAGTATTTATTGAATTCTATCTTTTTATACTTGAGCAAGTTTTTCTTCCATTGGTTAAAAATAATTCTATGATATAAATAAATAAATAAATAAAATCATTTCTTTTTGATTTGCATTGTTGCATGTTTATCTATAAAAAAAAAAAAAAATCATTTCTTTTTTATACTAAAAATATTTGAAATAAATAAATAAATAAATTACTTTTTTTATTTCTTTTGTGATCATTGCATAATTTTAAGCAAAGAAATTGAAATTTTTTTATTTTATTTATATAAAGTTTATAAATGACATTATAAAAGCTTAAATTTATAAAGTATATTAATTATATATGCTGGATAAAACAGTTATTGAACGCATGCACCAATAACTGACATATCGACAGTAAAATTTATTTTTAGACCTCTTCGGGGCCTAAAATTAACATATTAAATTTTACTGTCGATATCTATTTATTATTTTTAATTAACTAATAATAATAGATATAATTTAAAATTTCTTCTAAGCTGAATAATTTTTTTAGACTCTAATAAATTAGTTGCGCGTAGATAAAAAATGGATTTTTTATCATTAATTTCACAATAACAATATTAGAAATATACGTCTAATTAACTTAATTTGTAATTGCTTCTACACAGGTTAGCTTCTAAGTAATGTAGCAAATAACGCATAAATTTAAGATTCTATATATCGAAATCTTTGTTTTAATTCGTCTCTAAGGATTTCGATTCAGAAGTATTATTTACTGTCTGAGCCCTTTTAGCTTCATTACCGGGAAGTATTATTCCTTTTTCGGAATACTTGTTTAAATTTAAATTATGGTTAAAAAATTACCATCGGGATTAGTCTTAATTATAATTTTATCTTATTTACATACCACAGCTTGCTTAGCTCTATATAAATATCTAGCCAACCTAGATCTTAAACCACGAGCTTTGATGCCCAAAGCCTCTAAATTCGACCATTTCATCTCTATTGCCTCTTGCCACGTCTTTCCCTCTAAATTTGGGATGTATATTCCACATCCAATTGATTCAATCCATTCTGGAAAACCTAAGTAGACATCGAAGGATTAAGCTATCAATGTATTTTCTATGACGAAAGATATTTAAAATCCATCATACGTTTTTTCAGTAAGTCTAAATCAATTGGAACAGCATCTTCAAGTTCTGTCAATTGTGCTCTAGGACTATTTACATGAATTCCTCGTTTCCTAGCCTGTTTAATGGTACAAATAATAACTAGGTCATCGTCATTTTCTTCAAAAGAAATGATGATAAAGTAACACGTTGATAAATACCTGATCTAATTTAACCAAAGTAAAATTTCTAATTAATACTTTTCTCATATTTGAATTATTAATTCCAATATCTCGTAGATCCTGCCACCCCATTTCTATAATTTCCTGCCATTTGTACGCGCCGAATTTATGATCCAACTCGCTTAATCCAATTCCTTCAAGCCAAGCAGGAAAGTCTACACAAGATTTTTTTAATAAATCACAAAAACATTATGCATTAAAAGTTATTAGAAAATAGATTTATAATTACTTTCTTTTAATAATTTATAATTAACTTTATGGAGATAATTTTCTTTAAAAAACCGAATACTCTTCTCCAAATCTTCAGCATTGGTGGCCTCATTTATATGAATATAATGACTAATTCTTAGCCCATCGATATAAATAGTATCGAATTTGCTTGACTGCCCACGTTTGAGTGAAGTTACATCGATTTTTCTGATATTCGATAGTATATCAAAATTATTGAAGCTTGACGAGGACGGTCTGGTAAAATTATCATACGAAAAGATGTTGGTAGATTTATAAAAGGCATTGAAAAGCGAATGCTTACTTGTAAAGTGAAATATAGGAGTAAATTTAATGAGGGAGATAGTATGTCGTTTAACATTTAACGATCGAAGAATCTTCGGGTTAAAAAAGAGACGCATTTTTTTTTTATTTAATCAAAACCGCTTTTTTTTTACGCAGCACATATCACGTGATGGTCAGTGTCTTAACATCGATTATCGAGTTTTAAATTTATTTTTTTTATTAGTAAAAAAATTAAAGAAAAAATTTTCTATTTTGTAGGTTAAAAATATAAACATAATAAAATAAAAGAAAAAAAAATAGTAAATAAAATCTCTTATATGTCAAATAAGTATATTTATAACTTCTTATTAGTCATATATGATAATATTAGTATAAATATTATTAATAATATCAATTATTCTTTGTAAAATTCATATAGTTAGAGATGATCAGTGGTTTTAACTAAAGATGGGTCCCTAAATTATTTAGCATATAAAATTTTGCAGATCAATTATATCCTTTTTTTTGAAAGGACATAATTAATTATTTATTATTTTAATAGGAACATAATTCAAAAAACATTTGGATTAAGTATTCTAAATTACAAAAAATTTTTGTAAGTAGTTTTTTTTGATTTTATATTTAAAAAAAAATTTTTTTAATAATAAGAAACATTTGAATTATACTCTTGCCTTTAATTTAGGAACCTATCTTTAGTTCTAGTAATCATAGTATATATCCAAAGTCAAATAACAAATTAAGAATCCAAATTATTACAAAAGTTTTAAATAATATCTAGTTATCTAAAAATAGTTTAATTATCTAAACAATAAAGACATTATGACTATTTTAAACAGGTTGGTTTTTAAATTATAATTAAAATTAATATACTTGCTTTTTAAATATGGCTTGATATATAGCAAGTAAAGTTAGTTATAAAAGTAGTAATATTGATTTATTGATATTTTATTATATAAAAATATTGTAGTTACTATGGTCCCGAAAATTGGAATCACATAGACTCGCATAGACTCGCATACATATAAAAAACATAAGTGGGTTATAACCACCTATTAAATTTACTATAAGAGCTGGAATCAAATGGAATCGAACACAGAATCGTTAGGATCCTTAGTAGTTACTTTATATAAATTAATCTTTAATTTATGAAGAAAATTTGATATATTTATTATTTAAGTATGACAAAAGTATTTAATAGATAGAATTAGATTATATTTCTTATAGATATTAATACTTAGTCTTATATATAAGACCTATATTATTAAAAAGTAAATAAAAATTTTTATTGTTATTATAAACTTTGTTTGCAAGAGTAATTAGAATATTTAATTATTAAATAAAAGCCGCACATGTATCATACTTAACCCCTCCAAAAAAAAGAATATTTAATTATTATATATTATTCTATTAGATTTTTCAATTATAAACATAATACCTGTAAATAATTTATATTAATATAGATTATTATTTTATTTTATTTTATTTTTTTTTAGACAAAGCACATTACATGCAAGACTTTTATTAATTATTTAGAATTATATATCATTATATAAAAGATCTGACTAACTATTAAGCTAATCTAATTCTAGCATTACCTATTATAACCCAACTATACTTACTTATATTCAGAAGGTAGATAAACATGTCAGATGGGAAACTTCAAAGGAGAAGAAATCCTGCCATCAGTTTTAAACCGCCTTAACCTTGGTTTTTCAGTTTTTTGAATAGTCGTTAATACAGGGGGGTGAAAGAAGTATTGGACAGTTTTTTTTTTTAATTAATTTATAGAATGATTTATATACTTATCTATTT